TGCATATGCAGAGGGTTTAAATAGGCAAGACCCCTAGTTGGCTTGCAGGTATGGCAACTAGTGTAGAACTTATATAGCAATGTGTAAGTGGACTACTTAAATTAGGCACCAAAAGTGCACGTGTAGCTAGTTGTAACCTACAATGTAAGGTGAGCCCTTGGTGGCACACCATGTCCTAATATACTTGAATAAAAACATCGCAACTCCTAAGATAGGGACTTTAACTTAAAAAAAAAAAAAAGAATTATATACTAACTTTCACAGACCATATTTTAATCACATTTTCTAATCCTTTTACCAAGTAAATAAGTTCGCTTAATAGAGCCTGCTGCATTTCTATCACTGATGCATCATGTATTTCAATTTCTTGCTCATTATTACAGAACCTCTAAAATTAATGCAACATTGATTTTATCAAGTTACTAATATTGTAAGATAATAAAAAACAAAGACTTACTTTGACATCATTATTCGAAATTTTAATTGCTTCATAATAGATTAATTGATTTATTTTATTGCATTGCTTTTGTAAAATGTTAGATGTAAAAATTCTCTTCAAACACTTATCAATTTTTTTGAACAAAAAATTTGTTTTTCCTTGACTTTTTATGCAAGGAATTGCAAGTTTCCAAAAGTTGTATTCTTCTTTTTTGTCTTGCATATCCAAAAGCTGATAGATTTTATTTATTAATTCATGTAACGAAACATTTAAACTATGCAATAACCATTTAAGACATCCATTGACAGATTCTATATAAAAAGTTAATATCATGCCACTAGTAAATTTGAACCATATGAAGCAATAGGCCCAATAGACCTTATTGCAATATATAGTAATACTTTCATATATGAGTTGGTTTTTGGAAAATTTTGGCGGATGTTTTTCAATCTTTTTTCAAATGTTTCCTTTGCAAGGCTATTTCTATATACATAAAATGCTTCAATGAACTTGCCATAATTATCTCCAAGAGAATTCCTCAGATGCTTATTAATATTTTGTATTAGGTGGAAGGCACAGTGAATTTGATAGCTTTGAGAAAATACTTGATGAACTGCAGAATCTACTGCAGGGTTAGTATTAGTAATTATGACTGCTGGCTGTCTTTTAGTTACTTTTAAGATTTCTTCAAACATTCAAATATGAGAGTCTGTACTTTCATCTGATAGTAAAGCTTGTGCAAGAAGAATATTATGCCAGTACTGATTAAATCCTACAAACATTGATAATGCTATACCATAATGATTGGTCTTATGCATTACATCATTTAGAACACAGTCTGAAAATTGTATCCAATTTTCAACTTGTTCAGGAGTTATCTATAGAAGCTTTGTAAGACTATTATCTTTGTCCCATCCTCTAATAACAACCTACTACAAATCAATTTATTTTTGACTATCCAACTAGTTAGACATCAAGGCTGTATCATTTGATAATGATTTAGAGATTGGCAGAAACTTCTGAATAGTGGCATATAAATCCTTCGAATGTATTAAGTGAGCAGGATACTTTCTTTCTAAAAACTTGCATTGAACTGTTGCTTCAAATTTACAATATGATGTCAAAAATTTAATATCATTCATCATTTCAGGCATGAAATTCTTACTTTCTTCAAAGCTAATCATTTTAATGCTTAAAAAATGATTATGATTGTCAACAATTTTATTTATATAGATGTAAAATTTGGGATTATTTAACTTGAAACACAATGTATTAACAAGAAATGGGCAGTTCATTTTTTTTGTGACAGTATCTTTTTGTGATTTTAAATTATAGAAATGAGCATAATCACATAGGTAGGTGTGTCTTCTTATAATCTCATCTTCATGGTGCACATGATTTTTTTTTGTACAAAATCCATTTTTCTTAGCCTACTCATTAATAAATAAATCACATACCTCCCATGTTGAGAAAGCTTTAGTACTATACAAATCAGAATTCATGACTTCTTTAAGACATATTGATGAATTGGCATCTTCAGTTTTATTGATAGTTTGTGCATTATTGATATTGACTTCAGAATTTACAACTTCTTTGAAATATATTGATGAATTGGCATCTTTAGCTTCATTAGCAACTTGTGTATTATTGATATCAATTTCAATCACTTCAGTCATACTGAAATCTAAGATTTGAACATATAAGAAAAAAAAAATTTAATGCTACTTACTAGCTTTGTAATGAGAAAAAAAAAATCTGATCATCCACTTTCTGGAGATGCAAAATGACATGAAAAAATAAGTCAGGTGACTATTTAAAAAGAACTAACAATGATTCCAGCAATGATATTAAATATAGCGATCCTAATGATAACTTCTAAGGATCTGACAGTTGAAAAAAAACCCAATGATGTTTTATTATCTGAAAAAAAATTATGACCAACTATTTTCTAGAGATATGAAAAAATGAGTCAGGTAATTATACTTACTGTGCTAATATGTTGTAAAAAGAACTACTGATGATTTCAATTACAATATTCAATGTGCTGATCTTAATAGTGACTTCTGAAGACTTAACAGTTAAAAATTTTGAGAACCTAGCAATTAAAAAAAAAACCTCCAACAATGTTTTATTACCTAGAAAAAAAATTTTGACTAACTATTTTTTGGAAATATAAAAAAATAAGTCAAATGACTATATTTACTGCACTGATATGTTGTAAAAAGAACTACTGACAGTTTTGACAACAATATTCAATGTGCCAATCTTAATGACAATTTCTAAAGATCTGAAAGTTGAAAAAAACCAAAATGCTTTATTAACTGAAACAAAAAAAAATCTGAACGATGATATTTACTGTGTGAATACATGTTTATAATGATTTTCAGTGATATGCTAATCTTAACAATACTGAGAATGATAGATTTATAGCTATAAAAAAGTTTGTTATACTGGTATGTATGTTCATTATAAAAGACTTTCTGTGGTTACAAGGTAGAAAAATTTTTAAAAACCGAGATGCTTTATTAACTGAAACAAAAAAATAATCTGAACAATGATATTTATTGCATAGATATGTGCTTACAATAATTTTCATCAATATGCTAATCCTAATGATACTGAAAATGACAGATTTATAGCTATAAAAAAGTGCTGTTACGCTGGTATGTATGTTCACTGTAAAAGGCTTTCTGTGATTACAAGGTAAAAAATTTTTTAATTAGTTGGAAAAATTTTAATATTTACTTACATACATGATCAAACTTTTATTAATTATGTTATACTGCATTGATTACATATTCATCAAAATAATTATGCACTATAACACATATGTGTTAAATTATAAAAATCATAAAAAAAAAGTTATAAATTAAAAACTAAATAATTTAAATATTTTTTATAAATTTATAAATTGATAAAAAAAAATATTTAATTAAAATAATAAATTTTTTTTTTGTATTAAGGTAAGGTCTTGCTTATATCTTTATTAGTAATTTTAGTTGTACATATTAATATACTATATATTAAAGATATACTAAGATTGTAAAATACAAAATAAAAACTACATGCAAGAATTAAAGCTTAGACAACTTTATCTGCAACCTAAACTAAAAAATATAATAAATTTATTTTTAAACCTTAATATTATAGTATATATAATTTTAAAAGTATAGTTTAAAATTATAGTTATTAGATTTAATATTATTACTAAGCTTTTTAATTTATTTTATAAAATATGATGTATTAGAAGTAATGATATAACTTATATCTTTTAATTACTGGTTATAGCAATTTATTATCTTTGACATTATGATAAGAGTTTTTTCTTTTCTATTCTAAAGCAATTAATTTTATTGTTTTTATAAATTTAATACTAATATTTTACACTTTTCATTCAGAATTTTATTTATTGCTTTTTTTTAATTATTTTACCTTTTAGATTAGTATCAGGTTATCTATTATGTTTTCAGAATTATGAATGATTACTACAAGATCTTTATATAAGTTTTATTTTAGTAGCATAGTTTTAATAGTATGATTCATTAGCTTATTGTTTTACAATTTAAAAACAGCTTGCTAAATTAAGTTAATTAAAAATTGCATCTATATAAATGCATAATTGTATTAAAAAAATTCTGGTGTTGCAAACTCCTAAATTATTATATAGCATTTGGACTTAAGCATTACTTAAATATATGCTAAGCTTGTAGTACAGCAAAAATTTTTTAAAGCTCATTTATATTAGGGTTAGATTTAGGGTTAGAAATTAGAGTAAAGTGATTTATATAATAAAATAGTAAAATTGTTTAACAAAACTTTTTGTTAGAGTATTAAAATAGTTTCTTATACTGATTTTTGAAAAATAATTTTTAACAAAGTGATATTTTTTTAATTTTTTTTGTAGTTCAGAAAATTTGCATTATAACTCTGATACACATTTAAGCAATACTGATCTCAATTCTTAAAAATTTGATAGTGATATAATATATAAGTACATGTTGCTAATCAGTTTTCAGAACTAAGATGTGAACTTTGAAGTAAAGTTCCTATCTATTATCTATTTATTTATTATTTATTAGATATCCAAATCTGAATTTATTCAGATATCTGTTTTATTATTAATATTAAGATAATATAACTATTTGAATATTTGTTAAATTATCTAGATATTATTAGTAAATAGATATTTGGATAAATTCAGATACAGATATATAGATAACAGATTTATTTGAATTGGACCTCTACTTTAAAGTAAAAATCTAATATTAGAAGCATGCTTATATAAATTGCTAGAAAAAAAAAGATTGTTTTTTTAATTTTATATAATATATACATTAAAGTTTAGTTGTAATAATACTTAACAATATTAATATAGGAGTTAAAATCTTTCTTTAAACATATAGTGCATTAGTTTCTTTAAAATTAGGCTATAGCATTTGTTAGAGTAAGAGTAGTAGGTATTAATAATATGAGATTAGATAAAGATAATATGTTTTAGAAAAAGCAGATTAGAAATATCTGTTATAATTAGGATTAGATATAAGTAGAATTAGATTAAAATAAGTATATTATGTGTTAGTAAAATTAGGTTAAAAGCATTTATTAGGATAAAAAATAGTAAGCATAAGTGTAATTAGGTTAGAAGTATCTATTAAAGTGAGAAGTAGTAAGTATAAGCAGAAAGCATCTGTTAGAACAAGAATATTAGGCATTAGTAAGATTATAATCTTTTTTTTTTTTTTTTTTTTGTTAAAGGCTATACTTGTGGTGATACTTTATTAACTTTATATCAGGTTAGCTATTACAACTATTTTTACAGAGATGAGAGTACAGCTAGTCACATGTGCAATTTTTAGTTGCCTATTTAAGTAGTCCACTCTAAGGTTCTATACTAGATGCCATACCTATAACCTACTAGAAGATTATCCATTTAACTTCTTTGATCATCTGCCTTGTCATATTGGAATCCCCAACTAAACTCCCATATATACCTAACCAGTATACTGTCTGAGCAGTATGGTACTTACTCTTTTTGTACTGATTCCTAGGCAATTACACATTTTAGAGTATGTCATCTGTCAGTAAGGCACAAGAGGCTCTTTGTTGTTAACTATCTACCCACTTTTAGAACACTAACACAAGCTACCCTTACAAAGTTCACCCAGATCCCAGTACTGACTTCACAGCATATCCCTAATACTTTTAGTATATCTCTGCTTTGAACTCAGACTCCCAATTCAGATAGCCCAGAAGGACTGTGACCTGTTCTTGATATATTGAGGCTAGCCCAATATCCTTTTCTTCCAGTCCAAAATCTGGCAGCCTGGTTGATGGTACCCTTCATCCAAGGTTCTTGTCCACCCAAATCCTTCATATTGGTATCCATTTCCTAGGTCTAGCCTTTACAGTAGTACTGTCAAAGATCCATGGTACCTCTCTGCTCAGAATTTCTAAGTAGGCTCTGGCTTCTCAGTTCTACAGATTTATATGGCTCAAGGACTTATTTTAGGTTTGCACTGCCTAGTACCAGTTTGCATTCCTCTGTGTAACAGATTACACAAATGTTCTAGACCTGCCAGTCATGCTGGTGTGACCATAGTTACAGGTATCCTATTCTAACTGATTGACAAAATGCTATTACCATAATACCATCTATATATTATATAGGTGATTATCCAAATTTCATCATCAGTGGGTTTTGAACTCACAACCTACCACTTGGGAGTATGACAACTTATCCACTTCACTAAGTCACCACACCCCTATTATAATCATTTTAATTTAGTATAAACTTTGATTTGAAACATATAAGTTGTATCAAAATTAAAATCAGAACTAGAGTTCCAGATAAGAATTTTGTAATTCTTTTTTTAATTATACTAAAATATATCTAAAACACAATTTAACCAACTTGAAAACATTAGCTTGTCAAACAATTTGCAAAATTTTTATTTTGAATAATTTGATTCTAAATCAGACTAGTTTTAGTTTTAAGTATAGTGTTATAAGATGAATTTCTATTATTATTATATTACTATTATTATATATATTTTTTTTCCCTTAAGCAGTCATGCTAGTACTTTATTAAGATTTTGAAATTATATTTGCAATTATATAAATGTTCTTAACAACTAAGTCTAGCATCACTTAGTTATCTTAATAGTACCTAAGTGCAACCTGTCACATTACTTCAAACATAAATAAGCTATTTGTCTAACTACTTAAAGTTTATAATAAAAAAATTTTCTTCCTTCTACAACAAGTTCCAAAATTGTCTTCTATGTTTCTGTTCTGATTTGTTTTTCTTTTTCTCTTGTTTTCTTTTTCTTTTCTTCTATTCTTTGCTAATTTGCTTTTTTTCTTTACTTGATCTTAGCTTTTTTTTTTTCTCTTTTTCTTTTTAACCTACTTATTATTTTTACTTTTCTCACTATTCACTAATCTTCTTATATTGGACTCTTTATACTTGTTTGTAAAACATATTTCAGACTGTATTAGCTACTATACTTGCAAACTGCTATTTTGACTTTATGTTTAGGAGCTGTTATAATTGATTTTGTGTTTTTTTTTCAAAATCAGACCTTTAATTAGAGCCTCTCTCATTCTCATTTCTTCTACTTCTGTTTTACTAAAGAGTGCTATATATAATACATATAATGGGATTTAAACTTTTTTC